AGTCTCCAGTTCCTGTGTTGTTCCTGTTGACCTCTGACTTCTCTCTCCAGATTTGGCCCCTGAGATCCTCCCTGGACTCTACTGGCCCAAGCCCAGCGAAGCATCATTAGGGCCCTCACCCTGTTCTCTAAGACCTCCCTCCCCCACCTTCTTTCTTTCTGCCTGTCTAAGTCTGCAGGGAGACGACCAGCAGTAAGGGCCAGAGGGTTTGGGAATGAGCCCTCCTTCATATTGGATATTGCATTGACCTCTGGGATCTTTTTCTGACTGCAAAAACAGCCTGATGAATTACTATTCTTGAGTCTTCATCTTTTCTCCGAAATCTCAGCTGAGCTGCACATTTGGATGGGGCATTATGGAAGACAGGATGACAGTATAGAGATATTCTGGCCACATGAAGGGGAAATAAATGAAAGTTTGGAGATGTGTAAGAATCCTTTTATTTGCTCTGCTGAGTCTGTGAGTGCAGGTTGGGACTGAGACCAAGTGGGGAAGGAGCCTGGGAGAGGGATGATGTATTTTACATGGTGAGGGTGCAGATGTTTGTCTTTGATTTGTACTGCTTGGGTGCACTTTTGGAAATGGTATATTGGGTCGTGTGCCAGGGCTTTAGAGAGAGTCCAGGCTCCATTCTCCTCCTGTTACTGGAATGATGCCCAAACAGGCTGTTGGCCCATAGGCTGCCCCTCAATGCCAACTTTAAAAGAGTTCCATTTCTCTGTTTTGTTGTCATTTCCCTCCCCCATTGTGTATGTATCCCTGCTTTTTTTTTTTTTTTTTGATTGCAGGAGCCTCCTTGAGGGCTTTTGTGGTCTCTGCTCAGGGCTCAGTCCAGGGCCCTGCGGTTCCATCTCTGTTGGTGATGGCCACTGCACTGAGTGACTGCCTGGTTTTCTTTATAGACTGTCCCAGAGTGGGGCCTTTCTTCCCCTCTGAGGAAGGGAAGGGTTTCCCTTTGGAGTTAATGAAGGAAGGAATATGTAGTTCCTAAATAGAAAGAAGCCCCTGCCCCTTCTCTAGTCACTGGAGTCTCGACCCTGTACATGGTTAGAGCCAGTTGATTGATCTCCACCTATAAATCCCCTCCTCTCCCACTCTCCTTTCCCCTTTGAAGTGATCCACCCTGTTGGGAACATTTGATTTTCCCTCTTTTGCTCTGCTATCTTACTACATATAGAATAACATTTAGTAGCTTTCAGCCCCCAAATTTTAGGTTATCAATGATGGCCCTGCATTCATGTGTGTGTATGTTTTATATGTGTGGGTAAGGTTTCTTGGTATATACACTTTATCTGGCTTATTTAAATATCAATAATAATTCAAATAGTAAAGAAATTGTTTATTTAACTATGAATTTCCCTATTTAGCCAGATTATTATTATAGAGAAACGATAGAATCTGAGCCAGTGATATTTGCATCCATAGTGGGTAGAATGTCAGAGATCAGAGAAACATCAAATACACACACACACACACACACAGACACACACATATATGTGTGCACATATACATACACACATGTATGCACATGTGTACATGACACACATGTATACATATGTGTACATGCATACACACATATTTGCAAATCAAGAAATGAGTTCTGAGGAAGGTTAAAATAAGTTGTGTTGACACACAGGTCAAATGTAATTTTTACCAGTGTCAAGAATGTGTTTGTCATGTTACCATACCACTAATCTGAAAAATAAACCAACAAAGATCTTTGGGGGAGACTCTTGAATTCCAGCTTCAAAATGAAGGGATATATTTGAGATGAAATCCTGAGAGGCAATGGTGGCAAGTGGATATAACACAGTCTTTACCTTTCATGGGTCAGGTGCCGGCCATTCTAACAAGCATGAGCTTTGTAATGTCAGGATCACATCTAGTTGCCTTCCAACCCAAAATTGTTGAGTGTTATCAATTTTAGCCCTTGTGTGCATATTTTATGGTATTGATACACGTTATCTGTTTTTTTAAAATATCAGTAATAATACAATGATTTAATTAAGAATCACTTATTTAATTAAGAAGTCCTTATTTAACTAGCATTGTTGTTATGGAGCAATGCTAGAAGTCAAGCCAATAATTAGATTATATCCAATGTGGGAAAGAATCTTAAAGATCATTTAAATACGCTTTATGGTTTTTTTTAACAAATGAGAAATGAGGGCCTGGGGAAATGAAGTCATTTTGAAGGTCATACACAGGTAACTTACTGTAGATCAGAGGAATGTTATGTTACCACACCACGAATACAATCTGGAAAATAAATCAGCAGAGGTATTTGAGGGAGATTCTTGAAGCTCTGATTCAAAATAGATGGATTGTTTCCGATTGAATCCTGAGGAGTAATCGTGACAACTTTCATGGTCAGATGCTGGAGAGCATCTGGAGAGCCTCAGCTCTGTATAGAGAATCAACTCTGTCACCTTACAACCCAACATTATGTTTGGATTATCAATGTTGGCCCGTGTGTGTGTGTGTGTGTGTGTGTGTGTGTGTGTGTGTGTGTGTGTGTTTCATTTATAATGCACTTTATCTGTCTTATTTTAATATCAGTGATAATATAATTATTTAATTAAGGATTCCTCATTTAGCCAGCATCATTATTATTATGGGGAAATGTAGAAGCTGATCTATTAAGATTGTGTCTGAAGTAGGAAAGAAAATAGCATAGGTCATTTAAGGATGCTTATTTTTATTTGCAGATAAGGTGATTTTGAAGGTCCATACAACGGTAATTTACCTGGGTCAGAAGCATGTTGTCATGTCACTATACCATGAATGCAATAAATCAACAAAGACATTCTTGAAGTTCAGCTTCAAAATAAATGGATGTCGAGGATTGCATTGTGAGAGATAACTGGAGCAACTGGACATAACAGAATCTTTATCTTTCAACAGTCAAGATGCTTAACATTCTAAAAAGCCTCGGCTCTGTGTCTTACTTCATGTATCATCCAGTCTAGTCCCTTTCAGCCCAACAATGTAGGCCCTTGTTTTTATGTGTTTGTGTGTGTATTTGTTGGTAATATGTTCACGAATATGAGTGGTTGATACACAATCTGCAAAATAAATCAACATAGCTTCTTGAGGGAATTTCTTGCTGTTCAGACTTAAACTAAAGGGATATTTGCAAAGCATTATACTCTGAAAGTAATTCTGGAAATGGACATAACATAATCTTGGATGGACCTGTACAGTCAGACACTTCACATTCTAATGGACCTCTGCTCTGTATATATGAGATCTGGATCTGTACTGTCTAACCAACAATGTTGAGGTGGCAATGATGTTTTCTGTGGGGGAGGGGGATGTCTATTTGTGTGGATAATTAATGTATGAATCACAACCACCATACTAAATAAAAAATGTAGTTCCTTGAGGGAAGTTCTCCATGTCCAGAACCAGAAAATGGAATACTTGGGATTAAATCCTGAGTGAACTCAGGCAATTAGACATGGCTGGCCTGAGTACTTTCCTTAAAATTGAGGTTCTGGAAGGACACTGGCCAATCTTAGAGGAAGAGGCTGCAGGAGCAGCAGATATTGCTAGTGTGAGAGAAATCAAGGGACTGAAGTGAATTTCCAGGGTGTCAGGAGTAGTCTAGAGTAAAGAGATATTGACTATTTTGATTGATAGAGTTTTTATTAATAGCATTCATTTAAAAAAAATTGAGTTCCAAATTCTCTCTCTCTTTCTTGCCTCTCCTCCATCCATGGAGAAGGCAAGCAATATGATAGGTACCCACACAAAACATCGCCATATTAGCCATTGAACTATAGAGTTTAAATACAACCTAGCTTGGGCTTATTCTAGGATGTTTGTTGCTAAACTTGTTCTCAAAACATTTCCAACGATCAGAGCTCATTAGGCCCAAGTGACCTAGATAATCCATGTCAGCACTCAGTGTGCTGATGATGGACTGGCCAGCATGACTTTAATGTTGGACAGGCAGACACATGAAGGATCCAAGGCCTCTCCACCAACACAAGTTGCAGCTAATCAGTGATGTAGTAGGCGAATACAAGGAGTTTCTGATGCCAAAATATGTTATTCACCGACCTGATCAGAGTCATCACGTAGCCTAATATTAAACATAAGAGACCAGGTATTCATGACTACAAATCTAGACAATTTCACTAACATATGCTCCCTCCCTCATTATGCTGCTAAGTGGGGGCAACAATGATCATGCCACTATGATACATAGGAAAGGGGAGTTGGTATAGAAGCAGCTAGGTGGTACTGCAGTGGATCGAGCACTGGCTCCCCCCCAGAGCCCGGGACACTTGAGTTTAAAGTAAAGCTTCAGATAACTTACCACCTGTGTGACCCTGGGCAAGTCACTTAACCTCTGTTTACCTCAGTTTCCTCATATGTAAAATGGAGATGATAATAGCACCTACCTCTCAAGGTTATGACAATCCAATGAGATAAAAATGCATGGCCCAGCAAGGACGTGAGAAGCACTATATATACATTTCTTCTTCTACTTATCATCATCATCATCACCATCACCATCACTATCATCATCACACCACAGTGATCTTTGAAGAGCCTTTCTGATCTTCATTCTTACAAATCGTCCATTGAAGACATGGAGTAAATTTTGCTATTCAGAACAAAATGATTAAATTTTATCAAAAAATAAAACACCTCAAATCTCCTATTTGTTTCCATAATGAATATTTAGAACTATAGATGCCTTCATTTAAGGGCATATTAGCATACCACCCCCAATTTGTACCTCTGTCTTAGTCATTCAACCTTGTTTTTTTTTTTTATTTTCCCTATAATCTAAGCGACCAAACTTTGAAGAAAAAGGTACGTGGTTTGCTGCTGTTTTATATTCTTCATGGTATTTGTTAATGTTTTTATGTGTTACATGTCTTTGGTTCTCAAAGCTCTTTCTGCCTGGTCAATTGGTATCCTTGGATGCTGAAATAAAAAAATGAAATCTCCCGTTTCCATGTACTTTTCTCCACTGTCGTTTAGAAAGGGATGTGCAATTTCACTGGTATAGAGAACTCTCGGTATGGAAAATCCCTTCACTAAAGTAGATCAGCTGGCTTAGGGAGTTTGCAGGAGGCACTGAGGGTTATTAAATAGGGCCAGATGAGCTTCAGAGGTGGGTTTTAACTAGGGACTTCCTGACTCAGCTCTACCATGCTAACTTTTCGACTCTCTGAATATATAGTAATCAAGGCCAATGGTTTTCACAGTTCTTTGATATCCTTTCATTTTAAATCGTAACTTCAGGAATGAATAGGATCTTCAAAGCATTGATTAAGTTGGCTTACTATGTAACCAAGCACTGGAAATCATATTAGTCAAGTAAGACTGCACCCCACAAAGCTCATGCTCTAATGGGAAAGACAACACCTATGAGACATTTGAGCTGCAAGTTGAATGGACCACCCATGGTGCTTAGGGTGAAATAGCAAAGCTGATGGTGATACCTCTTCCAATAAAATCTTAATCACTTTCTGATGTTGAACCATTGGAATTAGGGTGAGGGTTAGTACCAAAGACTTTGGGGGCAAGAACTTGCTTTTCTGGGTCCTCCTTAGGTGACGCTGTAGGCCCTGGAGGAGCTCCTGCCAGGCGCATCTCCACAGGGGATCTGTCCCTGAATGAGTGAGGGCACCAGACTGGGAAGTGTTATTCTTCCCAAGGCTCCTGGGCCTGCTGTGTGTAGACGTCTGGCCCCTTCTCCACAAGACTTGCTTTCCCAGACAATAACTGTGAGGACTAGGCTAGAACCAGACCTAGTACACCATAGTCAAGCAGGGCATGGCCACTCCCAAGTCCACCGTGCCTATCTAGAACGACTGCTGGTGTTAGTTGGTCAACATTTGTTGTTGATGATGATGAGGAAGGATGGCTCCCTCCCCACAACCATTTCTCCACTAATCGTGTTCTTAATGTTTTACTATTTCAACTTTGATAGCAAATGCTTGCATTTCTCTAGTGTCCAACATACCTAATCATTTTATTCCAGTTTCTCCTTTTAAATGTTTGTGCCTTTCTGTCTCAGCTCTCTATGTTTGCTGTGGCCACTATTTGTAGGTAATATGTTCATTAAATTTAAGCTAGAAAGAACCTTAAAAGCCATTAAATGTTCAAGTCATTCATTTATGTCACTTATTTTCTAAGGGACAGTGACAAGTATAGTATGATGAACATTAAGGGCATATCATATTTTAAAATCAGTATTATTACCATTTTTGGTTAAAAGGTCAGATCATACTTTTAGTAAAAGTTAAGATGACCATTTTTGGTCAAAATGACTGTCCTAGGTAATGATCATCTCACCAAATATCATATAACCAGCATTGTTGGGCAAGCTGGCATGTCACCCTCTGGGAGGTATGCACAGAGGCCCTTGAGCCCAGTGGGAATATATTTTAAAATCAGTATTATTACCATTTTTGGTTAAAAGGTCAGATCATATTTTTGGTAAAACTTAAGATGACCATTTTTGGTCAAAATGACTGTCCCGGGTAATGATCATGTCACAATGTAGCAGCATTGTTGGGCAAGCTGGCATGTTACCCTCTGGGAGGTATATATAGAGGCCCTGGAGCCCAGTGGGAACATAATCCCAGAAGTGAGGGGCACTGTAACACCTCCTCCACTAGAAAAGGGAGTGATGCGCTAGAAACTCTGTGCTGAAGGAAATTGCAACGTCCTCAAGGGTTCCTTAGAGCACAGGTATGAAGTTCATACATACCCTTTAGGGTGAAATGCTCTTGTATTGTAAAGTGACTCCTTAAACCTTGGTAGCCTTATTCGAACTTGTCTGCAGGACAGGGCCTTTACTCTTCTCAGAAAACTACTAGCACCTCCTTCTGACCCAGAAGCTGGGGGGAAATGGCCATGGCTTTTGTTGGCCCCTTCATGTATCCTTCACATCCAGAGGGACAAAAAATAAATGAAGTTGAACTGTGGCAGTATGGATAGCGCTAGCACTCCTGAACTCACTGAGTTCAGAAAACTGACAAGCGTAGTTTTCCAGAAAGTCACGAGTAGCCTCAAGTATTTGGATCTACTAGAGAGCCAGAAGAAGCAAAACGTGTGTGTGTTCTATGTGACGGCAGTAAATCTTTGCCAAGCCAGTTTCCTTTCCAGAATTATCGGGGCACAGGACTGTGCCTGAAAATCAGGTTCAAAAAAGAAATGCAGCATTCTTCAGGACGTCAAGATAATACATTGTAATGCTCATCATCCTACAGTACAAATATGATGAAATAAAGGAAATAAAGCAGATCCCTTGTGTCTTCTTTTAATATCAATAATGCAATTATTTAAAAATTACTATTTCAGAAAGAATTCTTATTTAATATGCCTTCTAAATTTTATTGTGGCAGTGTTAGAAGCTGTGTCCAAAATGAGGAGTTTCACAGGTCTCATCATTTAAACATGATTATGTTTTTTTTTGTGTGTTTTTGTTTTTTGTTTGTTTTTACAAATGAGGAAATGGGGGCCCAGGGAGGTAACAGTGATCCAGATTGTGAGCAGCCTCTTCACAAATTCTTGTACAAGCATACCTTGGAGATATGTGGGTTCATTTCCAGACCATTGCAATAAAGTGACTATCACAATAAAGCAAGTCACATGAATTATTTTGGTTTCCCAGTTCT